CAAGGACACAAAAAAAGCAAAAGAATGGCCATTATCCTTTTGAGAAAATAATCAGCAGTTAATCAGACGACATGGACATTTTTTTTTATAATCTGTTTATTAAATATTCAACAAATATACCTCACTCAAAGTGAGACAAACTAACACACCACCAAATGTACATATGTACCAAATGTACATATTTACAGAGATCTTCCATCATATAACTTAGATAGTTCCAACTTTGGCACCAAAATAATAGAGTTACGTTAATTTACACCCAATCTTGACTCTTTCAACCAATCATAAAATTTTTTCCAATATTTGTCATACTTTTCCATACTTTTCCATATTTCTTTCTTCAACAATATAGGTTAGTTTCTCCATTTCTGCAATATAAAATAGTTTACTTATAATCTCATCCTTGGAAGGAATACATTCCTCCTTCCATCTTTTTGCGAATACAATCCTCGCTGCCGTTAGTATCTGCATAATTAAATACAACTCTTTTTCTTTATATGAATCTGGTAACATGCTTAACAAACAACACTCAGGTTTCAAAGGGAAATCTTTCCCAAGCATTTTATCTATAATTTCTTTCACCATAGCCCAATATTTCCTTGTTTTGGTACAAAGCCACCACATATGGTAGAAAGTACCAGTGCAAAATTTACACTTCCAACAATTTTTCCCTATTTTCCCGTTGAATTTATTTAGTCTAGCCGGCGAGATATGCCATCTGTAAAACATCTTTATAATGTTTTCTTTAAAAACACTTGTTCTTACAAATTTTATATTTCTTGTCCACACTTTTTCCCATTGTTCAACACTCAAATTATAGCCCCAATCCTGCATCCATGCTATCATTGATGGCTTTATCTGTTCCTCTTCCATTTTCCACTCCAACCAAAAATTATACATTCCTTTAATAAATTTCTCTTTTGTATTTAACCATATCTTATCTAAATCAGTCTATTATAGATGCCCACTTGTTTGTTCTTTGTCCATTTATATGAAAGCAAGCTATGTTGACTTCACCAGTAACATACTGCCAGTGTGATGTGATAACACATTCCTTGTAAGGCAGATATTCAGGAGAAAAAAACAACATGGTCATTCTTTTATTACTGAAGATTTTTAGAGGATGCACTAGGTCATGGGTAGGTGACCCCTAGCATGTGTTCCAAACAGCAGCATGCCAGATCATTTTGCTCAGCAAGTCAGCTCCTTCGGTCCACCTCAAAAGAAGGAGTGCAGCAGAGTTAAGGCAGAGCACAACTCTAGGGCATTTTAAAACCAGAAGCAGTAATATCATCTGTTAGGACTTCCTTTGGACCCACTTCCTTTTTTTTATTTAAATTTTTATTGTTTCAATACAGTACATCAACAAGCTTTCACATAAATGACACAATAATTTGGTTAGCTGAACTTTATGGCATTAACAAAACGTATAGCATACATATACTGTTTCGCCATTATGATCTCGGGCGCTTGCCTCTATAAATCAGAAATACAGTAACTCCTGATATTGTTTGTTTTTGGGGATAATTTCTCCCTCTGCAAGGTATTGAACTACTGGGAACCATATAGCTTGGAATATTTTCTGATAGGAGTTAGTGTTCCAGTACATTTGTTGGTTAACTATTTTACCATAAACAAAATGTTCCCATATTTTATTTTGCCAACATGACGAGGTAGGAATAGATTTTTATTTCCATTTCTGTGCAAGTGTTATTCTAGCTATTGCTAATAAAGTAGATATTAATATAATTGTTATGTTTTCTTTACAGGTTTTCGGAAATACTTTGGACCCACTTTTAATGAGTGCCCGAAGTACCAGGCTAACAGCTGGTGCTGTTTCTGCTCAATCAGCAGATGTGGGAGGCTGACAGTCACATGTGTGATATCACCATACAGGCAGCAGAGACAGGTGGTTTAAGTTTATCAAGCCCTGGATGGATCACTATGCATGGCTGAAGGCTGGTCTTATAAATCACAGGTAGCGCACAACATGCTTAAGTCAGAGCAGATTTTATTTCCCCTCTTCACAACTCTCTCTCAGCAAATTAAAAGAACAGAATACAATTAAGCAAATCTATTTTCACCAAAGATTTACAAAGCATCCTGTGGCTTTGAAAACTCATTTGCAGCAAAGGTTTCCCATGTTTTCTCTACCCCACATATGTAAGAAATGTTTCCTCACTGAACTAATGCAAGCTACTTTCAGGCACGTGGAAGAGGCGGGGGGGGGGAGTTTACAAATTTCCAGTGTCTGAGAGGGGAGACTGGCTGGTGGTCAAGTCAAGAGCTTCGGCAAGCCAAGCTAACAGATCTCCTTTTGTATGCCAGACTTACTGAAACCCAGACAGCCCATCACCGGGGGGGGTGTCAGGAGAGAAGGCACAACAGCGAACTCTTCCACGTACGACTCCGCTCGGGCCCTGTGAGGGTGCTCCGAGTGACGTAATCCAGTGGGTCACAGGAGGACCTTTCCAGTCTTTCAAGCCTCCCGCCAGCTGGACCACCCATTCCCTCCTGCCCCACTTCTTCAACAGCCAAAGAGGTAGAAAGTTCAGTTTTCCAAGAAAGACATGTGGCAAGACAAACATGAAAGGAGGCGAATACCTGACACCGCCTTTTAGCCCTCCTTAGGCCACTTGGAGAGGATCCCTTGTCGCCTCTGTTCCCCCCCCCCAAATCCTCCGAGTGCTCCAGAGCAAACTAATTTATGCAGCAGCCAAATCGCTCGCTCACAACTTTAAGACCAGTAGCTCACAAAATAGAATTTTTGCTCACAGCCCTACAGGACTATGCAGCTTAGAGGGAGTATAAGCGACTGGCTCCCCTGCTGCCCTCAGGTTTGTGATCCCAGGAGGGATCTGTCCTCTCCCTCCCTCATTTGAGGAACTGGCCTGATCCTGTTTCCCCGAGGCGAACAGGAGGGGCGCCCCAGCCCCCCACGCACCCCTCCTGATGCTGGGCCTGTAGCAACGCTTGAAGGGGGACGTGGGTCCACGAAGGCAAGGTGTGTGGGGGGAAGCAAGCAGGTGGGGGAAGGCAGGGGGGAGACCCCAGGCACAGGCAGGGGGGAAGGGTGGCCTCTGAGTGGACGGGAGGGGCAAGGGGTTTGACACACATGCCTACCTCGCCGCTTACTCTCCTCTTCTTGGTGCAGCAGCAGGGGGAGTCCTGGGAGTCAGAGCAGCCAATCCCCATCCCGCCAGAGCAGGCCAAGCTCAGGAGTGCCAAGACACCCCCTTAGTTGCAACAGAGCAGGGCTTTTGGCGGGGACAGGGCAGCAGGCCAGCACGATGCCCCTCCATAGGCAAATGCCTAAATTCTTCTATGGGCGGTCCGACCCTGCGCGGGTGACCAGGGAGGGGGCGAGGGGCAGGGTGGGCCTGTTTTCTGCCGGAGCGTTGCTGTGCTGTGCTGGCCACTAGGCCAGGCCCAGTTGGGAACCTGCAAAGACTTATGAGGGGCATCTAAATTTTCCCGTATCCTTATCCCCACACTACTTCGTCTTTCCCTCCTTCTGGCAGCCCCCGTAACTCACCTTTCCCTGCTTCCTTCTCTCCTTCCCACCTGCCCACCAAACTACAATTTACCTGCCCCCCATTCAGCTATTTTTTAAAACTAAATTTATGCAATGCCTTTCTCCATAATGTGGGCCCGCAGCAGCTGACATAATTCTCTTCCATTTTATCTTCACAACAATCCTGTGAGGTAGGTTAGGTTGAGTGTGCATGACTGGCCCAAGATTCTACGGAGGAATGGGAATTTGAACCTGGGGCTCATAACCTGAAACAAGTCTGAAACTCTAACCACTACACTGCATTGGCTTTCCTATGGAGGCCAGTGTTCAACAGTAGTGAGCAGCTTGGCCTGAGAAAGTCATGGAAGACCCAGTGATTGCTGCTGGCCCTGGCCATAACAAGTCCTCCCTGACAGGCCACAACAACCCAGGAAAGAGCTCTGTCCCCTCCCCCTACCTTTTACTGTCAGAAGGCTTCCCTTGGCCACAGAGGGCATTTGTTTCTTAAACAGTGTGACATATTCCCCAAAGAATCAATTCATTAATCAACAGGTTTTCCTTCTGATGATCACAATAATCTAATGCTGCACTTTCTGAAGTACAGTGAAGAATTCTGGAGTTCTGCTGACATAAAGACCAAAGTACGAGAATAAGTATTATATTAAACATCTGTTTGTCAAAACAAACTACTTTCATCATATTGGGCTTCATTTTTACTTTTCTGGATGTAAATCTTTTCACATTAACTCTTCCTGACACCAATGTTATTTTTTATTTTAACAATTCCCCCACCAAAACGAAGACAGAAACTTTCAGTTTACTTCATTCGGCCACTGAAATTCAAACATTTGAAGTATTTAGCTGATGGAATGACCAGAATGACCAGTTTCAATAGCTCCTACATAAAGGACCAGCATCAATTTAGTTTGAAACCACTTTAGCCAAACAATAATTGAGTCATTAAAGAACAGATTTATAGCCATATAGCTCCAAACTACCAATCACGAACTGGCTGAACCAAACACAACACCCCAAATAATATCCTATGGATTATTTCAGATGCTTTCACATTATAATCTCTGCTAACCTCCTACTAAAATGAAACATGGAATGAGAAATACTATGACTTCCATATACAAAATTTTGTTCCCCCCCAGCCTACAAGAATTTGCCAATGATTTCAATAGAAATCAAAACTGTAAGTTCTAGTATGGCATATAACAGTTAACGTACTGCATATACAGTGCCTGGAATGTTGAGTATGCTTTAATCAACATAAATGACAACTTCTGAGAAGTCTTCTGGATCCCAACTCTCTTGTGAAGTTCTACCACTACTGGTCATAGCATGTTCAGTCAGCAGCAAATCCATTGAAATTATGCCCAAAGCCATTGCCTAAAGGAAACTAAAAGGCTGATGCACAAAATTAATGGTGAGGGTTGTATGGACCAAAAATGTAACAGCACTTAAGCTTAACATTATTTACCTGCGGAGAGCTGAGTGGGGAGGGGATTCATTTCTTTGTCAACCATTTTCTGGTACAAAGCTCTCAGACTGAATGGTTCCACAGTAAAGGGCAGTGTTCCCGTCAACATTGCATACATATTTACACCGCTGTAAAAGAGGAGCAGTGGGAAAACATTGAAACAAGCAGATATATTCCATTAGAAGTTTACTGGTCAAGGACCACATAAATGAGTCATTATGGTTATCAAAAATCAGTCACTAACTCAATGCACATTCCCTTGGCCACTCAAAGAAGTTATCCATCACCTACTTAAAAAATCCCTACAGAAATGGGATGTGGCCAGTTATCACCCTGTCTCTAATATGTCCTTTCTGGGGAGGGGTTGTGGCTCAGTGGTAGTGCATCTGCTTGGCATACAGTAGGTCTCAGGTTCAATCTCCTATTAGAAGGATCAGGTAATAGGTAATGTAAAAGACCTCTATCCACCTGAGACCCTGAAGAGCCACTGACGTTGATGAACCAGTGGTCTGATTTGGTATAGACAGCTTCATGTGATTGAGAGCAGTGGTGGACCAACTCCAGGCCTTCTTGTACTCATGCACTCTGGGACTTTTCAGTCTGGTCAGGCAATGTTTATTGGTTTAGTTGGTTAATTTATACTCCACCTTTCTTCCCAGTGGCAACACAAAGCAGCTTACGATGTTCTTCAAAGACAGGGAATGGAGATGGCACTGGTGGCTTTAATTGATGATCTCCATCTGAATGCAAAGGCCATGTCTGTGTGTTGTTCCTACTGGATTTATCTGCTGCCTTTGCTACAGCAGACCATGCTATTTTGTTAATTTGAACACTTTACTACTTCTTTATCTCAACACATGGTGGGAAACACACTCTGAAAACCAGATCCTATTTGGCTGGCTAAACACAGTAAATTATAATGGAGGGCTGTGGATCAATAGGACAGCACCCCTTTTGCATGCAGAATGTCCTAGGCCCTTTCTGCACTCTCCTTTTAATTCGTGTTCACCAGGGTGTCCTCCAAGCCATTCTGCACTAAAATTGAATTCAACATTATTTTTAATCCAGCCCCCCACCAAAAAAGTTCTGCACTAAAACTGAGTTCAACCTTCTTTTTATTAAGACTTTCCCCCCATTCTGCATTACATTCAGTGGTCAGCCCGGTTTCAGCCTGCTGTTGCCCCGGGTTATTTGGATGCTGTTTTGCCATGGACTTAAATTGCCTCGAATCGAACACTGAGAAAATCCAGAGTAGCAGGCAAATGCAGAAAGGACCCTAGGTTTAATCCCCAGCACCTCCAGTTAAAAGGATCTCAGGAAGCAAGTGTTGGGAGACATTTCCCAGCCTGAAACTCTGGAAAACTGCTGCAAATCAGAGCAGACAGTACTGGGCTAGATGTATTGACGGTGCAGCTCGGTACAGAGCAGCTTTATATGAACACAACCTGGGAGCTAAAACTAGCTTCAGATGCTACATAACATGCTGGACTGAAAGAGACTTGTACTTTATCTTCCGAGTTATCTTACATGGATGCCAGTAAAAGACATATCAATTTAAAAAGGTGTTGACATCTCTGGGCTGCATTTACATGTACAGAGGTTGTCTTCAGTACTGACTCTCACACTATACAGATTCCATGCACTCAGCAGTGCAAAGCGGGAGGACCAAATCAGTACACTATAATGTGTTGCTATAGCCTCTACTATACAGGAAAACGCCATAAATGAAACACCATCTTTTCCTTAAATGTATTGATGCAGGTTAAAGGACATACAGAAGTACTGTAGCATTCCCTTGAACTGAATGAATGTCACAGTAAGAGCTCGTTTGCTGCAGATGAATGATCCTAGGTAGGAGAAACCAATTAAGGAGCCGTTTGACAGTTTTGCTTTGGGTTTTATCTCAGCATGGATACTGTAAACTGGGCTCCACCATTTTTTTTTTAAACACCCTCTCCAAAGTAGCTGCTTGCAAAAAAAAACAACTAAAAGATAGAACTCATCACTGCTTTATCCACTCTGAGATCAATGGAATGCATTCAAATAGTACAGGGCAGCCTGAAAATTCTCTGAAACACATCCAACAATTCTACTTCATTATCTGGTGGCACACTAAATTCTTATGACTCATACTGTACAGTCACTGAAAAACTCATGTCACTTCCTACAGAAAGAAATCATTTTCTAAGTTTGTTCAGCTAACATTTCTCTTGCTTTCACATCACAGTGCACTGAATACAGAGCAGAGTTTTCTGTTGCTTCCACACTAGCCATTAACTCTGAAATTGCCATAGTTTGTTTACTCCGTTTTATAGGGAATCCAGACAATAATTGTTGGCAACCCGTTATATATCAGAATCTCTCTCCCCAGTCTTTTATTACATCTCATTTGTGGCCATTTCAAAAAAAATACAGCTGCAGGCCATCCAGTGCAAATACGCAAAGTGCTACTGAAGGTTTTTTAGGGTTATTGTTCATTTAATTTTTCCTCCTTTTAAAGTACCTCTTTCTTTACCTGCTCTTTCCCATGCATAATCTTATAAACCTCGATCATGTCACCCCTCAGTCGTCTTTTCTCCAAGCTAAAGAGCCCTAAGCGCTTTAACCTTTCCTCATAGGGAAAGTGTTCCAACCCTTTTATCTTTCTTTCATTTCAAGCATATCACTGCCTGTTCTCTCCAGAGACCAGTCACAGTATCCATGAATGAATCAACTGTTAATTATCAGTGCTTCATGGAGGAGGGAACTAAATACTGCTTTTCACTTTATAACTTAAGCCACTCTCATTAATATATTGCACTTATTTTTCATGATTGCTATAGCACTATTACAAAACTGCAATAATTAAACATAAAAATAAATGAATTAAACTATAAAATGATAGGCTATACTTAACTCTGCCCCCCCAGCAAACCTGCAGCCCAGGAAATAGGTGCAAACGGAGGAGGTGGAGGAGAGTTGGATTGATACCCTGCCCTTCACTTGGAGCCTCAGAGAGGCTTACAATCGCCTTCCCTTCCTCTCCCCACAACAGACACCCTGTGAGGTAGGTGAGGCTGAGAGAGCTCTGAGAGAACTGCTCTTGAGAGAACAGCGCTGGGAGAACTGCAACTGACCCAAGGTCAGCGAGATGGCTGCATGTGGAGGAGTGGAAAATCAAATCTGGTTCTGCAGATTAGAGTCCGCCGCTCTTAACCACTACACCAAACTATACCAAAATTGCAGAGAGAAATTCAACCTTTTCTGAACAGGTGCTACTTTCAGAAAGTTTGGTGATGAGCACTACACGATTTTTACAGAGAATTCAGAGCTCTGTTAAGTGCTGACTGAGCAACAGCAGAGTAGAAGCCTGCCTAGGTAATTTTTGCTCCCTTGCTTAGAATCAGCCTTAGTCTGCAGTCTGAGAATTTCAGCAGTCACATTAAACTGTACACAATAGATTGCAATCACTTTAAAGAACAGACTCATCTATGCTTGAAAGGCTCTTAGCATGTTGCACTGCAATGACAACACTAACAATTACAATCACTAGTACTATCATCCATTTTCCAAAGTGGGATGCTCTTCTTTAGCAGCAATTCCAATTAGAACTTCATGCTATTGCTAACATAAAGGTTAAAAGAGAGAGGAGAAAAATCCAAACAAATAGATTTTTCAAAATCAGAAACTCACATGGACCAAACATCTATTTTGGGACCATATTTTTTCCTTGCAAGAAGCTCTGGTGCTGCGTAGGCTGGACTGCCACATTGTGTGCTGAAAGGATCAGAGTAACCCAAGATACTTGCACAGTTGCTCAAGCCAAAGTCTGTGGGGGGAAAAGAAGGAACAGATCTTTAAACACTGCAAGGGAACAACAGAACACTCGAAATATCTGTTTTCCTGCCTTTTGACCAGGTTACTTAAAGGGTCTGCTTTCATTTAAGGTTGTTAGCTGATTCTTCATTTTAAAAAAATGTATGATGATCTATGTGGATCCAAGGGAAATGTAATTATCAATTAATTTAGACAGGAAATTGCAGAAATGCTTAAAGACAAAGATTACTACATAAGCTCAAGTGTCTACGTCAATGTATCTCTCCTTATTATAAAGCGCTATTTGTGTCCACGTGCCCCCACAGCCTTTGGGCCACCCCCACTGCCAGTCAGAACAGGGTCCCTGGCCACTGGCTGCATGGCCTTCATCCCAGCTGAGAGCTGCTGGACGGCCAGGATGGTCTGCCGGCTGCAGCGTTTGCAGACCGAGCCCCACAGCAGCCAGCACTGGCTTCCTCCCACTGCTTCCCACATAAGGAGTCCCTCGCTTGCTGCCGCTCCACCACGATGTGCGGTGCTCGCTCACTCAAACGGACGGTGGGGAGAGGGACAAGGCTGGGCACCTCGGGGGGGGAGAAGGAATGAGCCCAGCCAGATTGGCCCACCACCGCCTCAAGCGCACGGCAGGGGGGAGGCGCGATGCCAGCTGGCTTGCCCGCCGGCACCTCACGTGGGCCGTGGGGAGAGGGAGGAGCTCGCCCAGATTGGCCCGCGCCCCCCCCCCGAGCGTGCACCGGGGGAGGGACAAGGCCAGCCACATTGGCATGCTGGGACCTTGCGCGGGCAGGCGGGTGGACAAACAAGCCCCACCAGCTTTGCTTACCAACGCCTCGAGTGTGTGGAGGGGGGCTGCCAGGCTGGCCAGCCGCCCCCTCGAGCGCGCGGTGGGGGGAGGAACGAGGCTGGCCACCAGGCCCTCAGGCGGCCGGGGGCGCACGAAGGAGACAGGGCCCTGTGGCCGGCCAGCCAAGTTAGTGTTCGTTGTCTTTATTGCTACAACGGGCCTGATTCCTAGTGTTAAATAACCTTCTGCTTGGCTACCGAACTGTTTAAGAGAAAAAGGAGAACATATGAAACACATTCTAGATTTAATTCTGCTGACTTCATACACATAGGATGTGGAGCTGCCCCAGATAAGTTAATATATACTTCCCCTGTTGTGCTGCACTGTGTCTTCATTGGGCCACTGTTATTCAGCTGGATGCACCCTCCCCTAGGAGTAGCTATCAGTGCATTATCCCCCAAGAATCTGATATACAGGAAATACCTAAACAAAGCTAGAACACAGAAATACATAGAGCCCTGAGGAAGAATCAGTTGACAGATACTCCCAAGGGAGCACAGATCACCTTGCCTTGGTGTAAAGGCAGGCTGGATGCCCCTTGCCTGGTTGTGTAACAACAGCCTGCTGAGAAGGTGACCTGGTGGGACAAGGAAGGGCCATACTAGCCGTTATGAAAAGGCACTGGATACTATTCTATATAAATGAACCAGTAGGATGGCATGCACACACAGAGACATCCCATCCATCCATCCATCCATCCATCCATCATATTTTCAGTAGTGGGTTCTCAGCAGTGTAACATTAAGGTATCAGTTAACTTTAACAGCTGTTAAAACTTAAAAAAAATCAGTATTTATCAAGAGAAGTATATATGAAAAAACTCCCTTGATGCTAAAATAATGGTGTGAAACCAAGGATGTATAGGATAAAACTCTTTTATTCTTCTAGACCTAGCTAGCTATAACAATGGAATTATTACTTAGCTCATTTCCGTGCACTCATTTGCAGTATATATCAAGCCATATTGCAGCCTGGCATCAAAGCATAGGTATAACCCTTAAATGTGTTCTTCTTTGAGTACGCAACTCCACCAGGAAGGATCCATCAGGAAGAAATATGGGGTAGATACGTGCCCCCCATAATCCAGAATGCAATCACCCCATGAAATCAATGGTTTAGGTAGGACACCCACAATGGAATCAGATATGAACAGCTACCCCGTGCAAGTCAAGTTCATGCCACATTCAAGGGAGCATGAAGGAGCACCCTAAGTCATATGACACCAACACTTAAGTGATGCTACATATCAGGGCTGTTACAGTAGCACATACCACAAATAAAGATGGTCTGATGCTCAAAGTGGCACATACCACAAATAAGGATGGTATGATGCAACCCTTTATGCAGACAGGAACTATTCTACTGAGTTCAATGGCATTGCATTTAGGTAATCTACACTTGACTGCTGAGAGTTTTGTAATGGTGATAATTCTAAGGATTCTTAAATGCCTCAAGTTCATTCTCTTACATTAAAAAGTTAAAGCTATAGCCAAACGACTGCATTTAAAAAACCCGAAGTGACCATCTCATTTTAAAATTGCGGTTTGTTAGCCAAGGGTATTAAATAGCCCTGTTCAATTTGAGGCACACAACTGAATACAATCCGCTGCATTTATGGCTATCACAGATGTGTGGATCTGACGATAAATTGTTTTATTGCTACAAAAAAGCTCTAAACTTCTTTCCATACTGCATATTATAAAGTGACTTTTCTTATGCAAATTGAACACTTCTGAATTTAGCATCTAGTTCTACTTGTGTATATGTTTCCTGCCATATCTCTATTTTGATGTTAGCTTTAGGTAGTGTTAGATGATCAAACACCTAATAACAAGGAAATTACAGAAATTCTTTTAAACCCACCTGTGGTTGTCATCAGAACTTTACAAACCATCTGCTTTCACTTAGCCATTAAACTGAGCTAGCAAGTGATAATTCTTCAATATAATTTGACCCCACCTTTTCTCTTATACAAGGTCACTTAATTAAATAAAAAATAAACAATTAAAGGTAAAAGTAATTATTTTAAAGAATATATTAAATCCCTTAAATATTCTAAACCCTATTAACATCAGAAGAAGTCTCATATATTGGCTTTGTGTAGTATGCCTCATTCACTGATTTGTTGGCCTAGTTTTAAGTAATAATTTTCGTCACCTCTGAGGAAATGAAGCCTCTCTCTTGAAGTAACAGTCATCTGGCATCTACTCTGCATTCAGACTTGCTGCTGTAGAAAATGTGTAGGCACAAAATTAACTATAAGCAGATGTTCTCTTTTAAGGGAATATTTTCCTTGCAATGCCCACAACTAGCATTAATGGGAGTTATTAACAGATACTGAAAGGAGATGAGTAATCTGCACTGTCTGCAGAATGTTGACAAATAATGCTCTGACTGTAGTGAATAGGCTGCTGTAAAATCAAGGAGCCATTGACAATTTTAATAAAAGGTTTCTCAATCAATCTTTCATTCTGATTTTGCAGCAGTGTAGCCTTATTGTACAGAGCAGTATTTTGCTTCCTGCTGCGTGATCTAAGAATCCCTGTTGGCAGCAGCAGAGGCAAAAGCCTCTGGGAATAGAAACCCTTAAACCTACAAGGGTTGTATAAGAAAAGGCAATAAGAATCAGAACTGTGGCTTAGTTCTCAGGAGATACTTTGGAGCCTTGTGTTTTGCAATAGGGTCGCATTGGCTTGGATCATGTATGTTAATATTTATCTACTCTGAATAATACTGTGCTTCTAGAGGGAGCCCAACTAATGTATTTGTCTATGGAAAAACTGGGGATTAGTGGTCGAGGCAGGGTACACATTTTTTACACTATCTGTTCACAGGAACAGAAAAACAACTGTTTGCCATATGAGCTGAGCTTTGTAGACTATAAATTACAAATTGCTATTTCCCCCATTATATGCTGTGTTATCTATACAATACAATTTTCAATACAATTAGAGCAAATAGCCTTTGTTACTCCAATGATACAAGGCAGAAGGTTTTACTGACGTCAGCAGTCTTCTTTCCAAGTAGTACATTCGGATTTGCTACTTACTGAATCATTTTCACCAAAAAAGAGCGTAAGATCTTCACTTCTCTTGCTACATTTTCTAAGACATATCAATACATTAATACACAGGAGTGTATTTGAATTTTTAATAATATCACAGAACCATCAATTATTAGAATGGTTATAAAAACATCTTACCAATAAGTTTAATATTGCTGTCTTCATCTAGCAAGAGATTTTCTATCTTCAAGTCTCTAAAAACATTTTAAAAAACATAGTTAATAAGAATTGAAACAATGAAGGTTTTGACATTTGGTTTATCTATTTACACTATTTATTTTTCACTTTTCTGGAGTTCAAAGCAGGGTGACAATGTTTAAAATACATGAAAGTACAAATAAATGAACACTATTAACAGCGTAACCCAGATCTTCCAAATTCCTCACATTGTTAACTCCCATTATTAGTTACATTTGAAGAAAAGGCCACTGCCACAGAAATATGGAGGTCTCTTCTTTTAAAATTATTACCTACTTCTGTTAGTCCCAGTGAGTATCAAATGGGCAAAATTATTGTTCTCTCCTCCCACAGGGATCCGTCAACTAGAACAATAGTTCTAATCACTTAAATGTCTGCAGCCCACAAAGCATGTAGTGGATATTAGCCTGGGTCATTTCGTAGAAAAAGAGCTAGGGGAACTTATTAGCATAACTCATTAGCATATGCCACACCCCCTGACATTACCAGAAGTGTGTCATAAGGCCACACCTCCTGACATCACCGGAAATGTGTCATAAGGCCACACACCCCGCCCCCAACGGTCCCGGCCTTGCAGCTCCACTGCCGAGCCCCATGAGGGGCCCGGCGGTGGACCTGCAAGGCCGGCGGGAGTGCAAGGAAGCCCCGCGAAGGCCCTCCCTGGCCCCAGGCAGGCAGGGGTGGGGAGAGGCAGGGAGGAAGCAACTTACCCTCCCTCTTCTCCTGCCTCCTCTTGGCTGAATGAGGGCCAGAAGCAGGGGGCGGGGCTTCATCATGTGCCCCGCCCCCGTACCTCACCCGGGGGAACTGCGTTCCCCCGCGTTCCCCCCCCCGAAATGACCTCTGGATATTAGTGATTTATTTTGGGAGAAAAAGGAATAGCTGGTAATTTGAAGCATGAGGCAGGAATCTCTAGAAAGCCAAAGGTGCTGGCTTAAGATGGTATGAGTTCCCTCCTAGCCGTTTTTAGCCAAGTGTGTGTTCTGGATTCTTTCAGTCCAACAGTTCAAGTCTACGAGGGCACAGATTTGGCCCTTTTTTATTGTCTGCCTCAAACTGTAAGACTTTTTCCCAGAAACTTTCTCCTTGAGCTTGACATAGCAGGTTAATAAAATCAAGTACAACACATTTCAGTTCTGACAAGTCTTGGGGTAGTTTTTAGATGGTTTGCTCAACTTCATTAGCTGTGTGAGCATCATTCTAAACAGAGTTACACCTTTCAATGGCATGTAACTTGCTTAGGATTGCACTTTATATTGTGCATAAAGAGGCAGCAATTGATAATTGTATTTAACAGTTTGTTTTTGAATATTTTTAGATATGTATGTGTATGGTTTGTACAGTAAATTACTCTGAGATCCAGTTGGGGAGTTGGTTGTGGAAGGGAAATGGCCTATAAGTCAGAAGCAGAGTTCTAGCGTTCTTCCCCAATTCACGCAAAACATGTGGTTGTGCTGTCCAACAGTTGGCAGGGAGTTATCCTTGTGGCAGAAACTGCTTATGCCATTCTGAAATCAACAGAGGCTATGCAAAACTACTGTGCTTGTATATTTCAGTGACTGTATCCTAATTCCTAGTGTTTAGGATGAAATGATAATTCATTCCCCTTATACATCCCAAGAACCTTTATTTTTAATGAAATCTTATGCAGACTTACTCCAGTCTAAATCAATTGTACTGCTAATCATCTCTGGACCATTTTTATAAAGTCAAAACAGTTTTAATGTTTATGCAAATAAACACAAAGACACATATAAAGATGACTCCAAATAATGTTTATTGGATCCACTCCTCCACTTAGACAGAAATCAAGCATATTACTAAATCCTGTTATATAACCATGTGTAAATGGAAGGGGAGAAACATAGCTCACCATCTTCAAAGTAAAATTTAGCTATTAGCAACCTTGTGCAGTGAAAGCAGATTCCTAAATAATCTGTACAGAAAAAAAACTAGATGTGCATTTCAAAGGGAAGTAATATTCTCTGAACTTCAGACTATGGACATGAATATTACACCAGCAGTCAGACTACTTGCATTTTAAACATGTAGAGTGAATAATAAAAGAGATCAAGCAATGTATACCAATAAATAAAATCTAATGTATAATCTAATATAGCTCAAATAACTATTAGAGGATGCTATTAAGGTTTCCCTTGCTCACAAACTAGTCAAATCTGAATCTAGGGGGCGGTACTCATCTCCATTTCCAAGCCGAAGAGCCAGCGCTGTCCAAAGACTTCTCCATGGTCATGAGGCCGGCATGACTACCTTCTCACTGAAGCGGTACCTATTTATCTACTTGCAATTTCTTGCTTTCGAACTGCTAGGTTGGCAGGAGCTGGGGCCAGAGACAGGAGCTCACTCCATCATGCAGCACTAGGGTCTCAAACTGCCAAACTACAGACCTTCTGGTCTGCAGCTCAGCATCTTAACCTCTGAGCCACCGCGGCCTTTTAACCTTTTAAATGTTTTTGTTAGTGTTTTATTATAATTTCCACAATATCTGCAATGTACAACATAATTTTCCTATAATTATTCTTGGACCTCCTAACCAACTGAGGATGTGCTTGTATGTTACCTCGAGAAACACAGGGACTCCCATGACAGCCTCTTCCTATGGAGGTGCAGCTCAGCCTATTTACAGTGCAATCCCAAAGACTCTTTGATGGGAGTAAGCCTCATTAAGTAGACCTGAGAAAGATTCTGCTTAGGATGGCACTGTTAAGCAACCCAAAGCAAAATTTACCCTGTTGTAGCACAGTTTGGATGGTCACTGCTAGATCCAGGGACTTTTCAGTGGCTGCATCTATTTTATCAATCAACTTTCCTGTATCACGTTTAGTATTTCTTGCCAGAATTTCTTAATTTTATCACACTGCCACCAACAATGCGCATAACTTCCTGTTTGGTTACACCCCTTTATCTTTCTACTGAAATCATATTCGGAAGTGTGTTGAGTAATGTATTGTAATTCTTTGAACATGTTATAACGTTGTACATACGCAGGAACTATTTACAGGATGTGAATGTAATTGGAAAATTAATTGTTCACTGTTTGAAGTGTTAGAATTGTTAAAAATTGAAAAAATAAATTAAAAAGAACCTTTGATTTAAAAAAAAAAAAAAAACCTTTCCTGAAGATGTTAGGAAGGCTTCCACTTTGCTGAGGTTCTGCAACTTTGCAAAGCGTAATTATTTGGAAGGGCTATTGACACTGTATGTTGCAAATGCATACATTTGTTAGTTTGTATAGATTTTGAATTGTATATTTTTTAAAAATATATTATTTAACCCAAATCAAGCTCTATTCCAGAGAAAGGCAGGCTAAAAATGCTATAAATAAATAAGTAAATATGGTTGCCCTCCCTGAACTTTCTGCATGGCCCAACTGCAGCCATTTCATTTCTCTGTTCCGTGCTGCAACCAGGAACATCAGGGAGGGGTCCCCAACCCCAGACCTTTGGAACAACAGTTTGGGGCAGCAGGGAAATGCTATTGTGTTCATTTATTTATTTGATACACTTCTACTCCACATCTTCATTTATTTGTTTATTTGACCTGTATACAAGGTAACTTCCAACAATAATTTAAAAGACAGTGTGCTTATTTAAGAAGACAACAACACATCTCCTTTATAAATAAAAGCCGAATGGTGGCGGCACTTCTCTAGAACATTCCACACGTTCCAAAATCAGTTCGCTCTCTGATCTGTCATTCAGAGGGTCTCCCTATCCACTGGCTGCTTTGCCTGAGTTTCGCCTCCAACATTCTAAACACTTTGCTGTTTGTCTCCCCCCCCATAGCCAGTCAGAACACAGAGGTTATTTGCATATGCAGCCTCATTGGCCTTTGCCTCAGAACACAGAGGTCGTTTGCATATGCGACTTGATTGGCTTTTGCCTCTAACATTCTAAACAGTTTGCTGTTCTGAGGTAAAATGTGTCCAATCTCCAGGTGAGGGCTGGAGATCACTCAGAATTACAACTGCTTTCCAGATGGCCGAGATCAGTTCCCTCGGAGAAAATGGTGGGCTCTGTATCCTTATATGCTGCTGAGGTGGGCCCCGTATGACAGCCAATATGACGTAGCAGTCAGGGCTTCAGAGCACGGGAGAGGCTGCTGGTGTGTGGAGGGTGGAAAGCTAAAGAGTGAGGGGAAAATAAAGGTAGGTCGATGATTGGCTGGGAAGGAGATAAGGTTGCCAACTCCAGGTGGGAAATTCCTGGAGATGTGAGGGATGGAGCCTGGAGAGGGTGAAGTTTCAGGAGGCGTGGGACCTCAGACAGGTACAAAGCCATAGACTCCACCCTCCAAACCAACCATTCCCTTCTGGGGAACCATCGTTGCCAATCTCCAGGTGAGAGCTGGAGATCACTCAAAATTACAACTGTTCTTTAGGTAGCAGAGATCAGTTCCTCTGGAGAAAATGGTGGACTCAGTGTCATTATACCCTGCTGAGGTCACCACAGCAAATTGATACTGAGTGTCCAAGGCCGGGGCACCCGCCCAGAGCCTCTTTCTAGAGGTCTTTGTATTAATTTCCACAACGGGCCTTTTTCCTAGCTAAAAATAAATCAAATCAGATTCCTAAAACCATACTAGCAGCAATAAAAGTACTAAAAAGACCTAAAACCACAATAGCAGCAGAGGGAGAATAGTAAACCCGGGGAACTGAAAGCTCATACAATATATACAAAGCAGGGCAACAAAGGATTGGACAAAGAAAATTTTTTTAAAAAGCCAAAACACCACAACACAACAATCAAACAAAGGCACGAGGAAAGGGAATGGCAGCCCCTTTCCCTTGTTTCAAATAATCCTGGACTCCCTGGAATACCATTTGCCCTGTATTCTCTACTGGGTGGATCTGGCCCTGTTCCTGTGCATTCTAGATCTATACAGAAACATACACAGTATATTTTCCTGTCTCCTAAAGCATTTCTAGGGCTCTTGAGAATGAAGTCCAAGTTTTGTTGTTCAGTTGCACAGTAGA